ATATATATATATATATATATATATATATATATATATATATATATATATATATATATATATATATATATATATATATATATATATATATATATATATAACGATATGAAGAATTATTACTATTATTAATATGTAGTCCTAAAATCTGGTGCAAAAGAGTCTATTTAAAATAAATTCCTTTATTCAGGGAATGGGTAAAAAGGACTTAATTCTTAATCTTAAATTCTTCCATGCGAATTTACTTGTAAAAAAACCGTATTTTTAAAAAGGCTGATTTTAAAATCAAATTAAGCATCGATCTTGCGAGTTTTGGAAACGTTGAGATGCTGAGAACACAGATATGATTAATTAGACCACGAACCGTCACTGCAATTTACAAAGTTTTGACTTAAACGAGCATGATTGTGTAATATTCTAGAAGGATTACTGACGTTGCTACATCCTCTACACACCGACACGCAAACGAAATTTGCGAGATAATTTGATTGCCTCTAAAATCCAGGCTTTTCGTTTTAAATCAAAAACACAGAGAAATTTATGATAAACTGAACTGAAAACAAATTAATAAGCGAATTCTTATAGCTTTGATAACAAAAATTGCAAACAGAAGTTCCAAAATTTCTTTCTTTAAGGAACTAAGAAGGTTATGGTCTATTCATAGATATAAGAAAGTGACCAATTGCTTTTGAAGGGTGGGTGCTTTTCCAAGGGTGGTCATTAACATACAATGCAACAAGATTATTACCTAAAGTTTCGGAATTTAAATTCAGGTAAAATTGTGGTCCGAAATAGAAAATAATCAACTGTATGGAAAATTGTGAATAATCCCATTTCAGCAAGGAAAAAAAGAAGCGATGCTGACATTTTCATCATACCAAAAAGCAATTAATTGAGGTTCTACAAAGCTTGAACCTACAGAAGAAATACATGTGTGATAATTCTGCAAAAAACCTAGGGCATACAGTTTTAAGGCTTCCACCTTACCACTGTATATTTAATCCCATTGAACATGTTTGGCACCAACTGAAATCTACCATTCGTCGTAACAATGTCTTTTCCCCTTGTTAACTCTAATGTCCTCAAACTTATAGAAACCGAAGTTTTTAACATCCCTCCACAAAGTTGGGCGAATTCTGTTAAACATATAGAAAAAGCATAAGAAAAGTATATCCATATTGCAAATAACAGGCGATGATAGCGATAGTGATACTGATATATGATGTGAATAATTTTAAATAATTTAAGTAGGTAATAAAAATAATTTGCAATTTTATTTTAGATTTAAACATAAATACATATATAATTAAATAAATATTGTTTAGTATTTTTCCTAGCAAAACCCCAAATAATTAAATTCTAAGCAAAGTTGGGCCATATTTCATTCTTACAGCTTGGACGGATCTTCCCTTCATTCGTATCAGTTAGTCACTTTATTATATCTATGAACAGACTTTACCCGCATTTTAAGGACAAATTTGACAAAAAAATTAGCTTTTTTGGAGATTGGAGGTGTTCTTGCATAGTTTCAATTGGTCCTTCAAAGTATTTCAAAAACTAAGCATTTGTTAAGCTATGTTTATTCGTAAGCTCCCATTGTTCATTGTAAAGGTTAACTGTTAACATCGTACTGCGAAAAGTGCAATTTTTGAAATATCTCGAAATTTAAAAAAGCTGCTGCCCTTTTACGACTGGGTGATTAATGTTTGCCTTCGAGATTTAAACCGTAATATTCCCTCTGGTTACTTTGGCACTTGTTCAAAGGCGATTGAAACCAAGATTTAGGTGCGTGATGAAAAACAAAAGGCTTTCGCTCTGTGTTACCCTCTTGTTGTTATTTTAACATTTGAGTAGATCATTTAACATTAAAACCTTTCTTACAGGCTAGTTTAATAACCAAAATTCATGTGTTTTGTCTCAATTAATTGGCCCTCAAGTGATATTAGTGACAGCTTATTGTAGGATTCTTTGATATCTATATAACATGTATGAACTTGTACAGAATTAAATTAGATCTTATAATTTAATTTATATCGAAGGTAAGAGTCATTTAGTCAGCATCATATATTATCAAATTTGTAATTTTCATGCAATTCTAAATTTTATAAGGAACGAAAAAGTGAAAATAATGTAAAACTAGAATCTATCAATGTCAGCGAAAAAGTTTTAATTTGGATACTTTATTGGACCATTATTAATAATTATTTTTATAGCGTCTTGAAATAAACAAACCTATTAAACATTTAACGATAAAGTTAAACAAAAAGAATGGTAATCTGATTTCATGGTATTTTGTATACATGCATTTCTTATTCATAGAAAGAATTGTATTTTTCAATCCTTCAACATTTTGTACTGATAAGTAATTGGCAAAATTGATTTGGAAAAGATTTCTAGAATGTATTGGGTTGTTCGGAAAGTCATTTCGTTTTTTTGGGGGAACATGAAAGACAGTTTTCGTATAATGAATAAATATTTTATTAAATTATATATTGGCCATTCTGGTCCAACACCTTTTGCCATCTTTCTGGCAGTAACATAATTCCCCTCTCATAAAAGTTTTGGTCCTTGCTGGCAAAAAACTGGTTCAGGTGGTTTTTGACATCTTCATTTGAGGTAAAGGTTTTGCCATCCAAAAAATTTTGCAGGGACCGGAACAAATAGTAGTCGGAAGGCGCCAGATCTGGAGATATGGTTGATGTTGCAGTACGTCCCATTCAAGCTGTAAAAGTTTTTGGCGAGTGACCAAACTTGTGTGAGGTCTCGCATTATCCTGGTGGAACACTACACCCTTCCTGTTGATTAATTCGGGCCTCTTCTCTTTAAGTGAATCATTCAATTTGTCCAGTTGATGACAATAGACTTCTGAATTAATCGTTGTTTTGTCCGGCAAAAGCTCAAAAAAACGATTCCTTTGACATCCCACCAAACGGAGAGCATCACCTTTTTTTGGTGAATGTTGGCTTTTGACACGCTTTGGGCCGGTTCATCTTTTCTGCTTCATGACCTTTTGCGTTTAACATTGTTGTATACAACCCATTTTTCGTCCCCAGTAATAATCCGCTTCAAAAATGGATCATTTTCTTGACGTTTGAGGAGCGAATCACACATGTCAACGCGACGACACAAATTTCGCTCCGTAAGGACATGGGGCACCCACACATCGAGCTTCGAGGTTAAGCCCATGCCTTTCAAATAGCCATAAACAGTCGAATTCGACAAATTTAATCTCTCACCGATCTCTCGTGTGGTTATTCGCCGATTTGCATCAACTAATGCCTTTATCGCATCTTTGTCAGCTTCGACCGGCCTTCCAGACCGTGGTGCATCTTCGACATCAAAATTGCCGGATCGAAATTTTGCAAACCAGTTCTGGCACTGGCGTACTGTTAACACGCCTTCTCCATACACATCCGTCAATTTTTTTCTCGCTTGGACAGCATTTTTACCTTTTCTGAAGTAAAAAAGTAAAATATGACGAAAATGCTGCTTATTGCTCTCCATATTTAAAAGGGCACCAACTAAAAACTACTGCGTAGAATTAATAGAGCTTTTTCACACACAAGCCTTGCAATATCAGCTCTCAAGACATATAATGGTTATGCGGCTTAAGTGTGAAGTTGGTTTCGAAAAAACGTAATTAAGTCCTCTGACGGGAAAGAACGAAATGACTTTCCGAACAACCTTATAATTTAAATATTGGACATTACAAGTTTATGGACTTTTTCTAGGAGTATTTAACAGCTTGGAAATTTCCTTTTTTCTTCAATTCTTCTTTCAATTTTGAAACAAAAATTGAAAAATTCGCCAAAGTCGTCATAGATCTTACATAAGATTAGTATACAAGATAAGAATTATAAAAAAAAGTGATGATCTTTTCAAGTTGACTTAAATTGTTATTTTTTGTCCTCTGTATTTTTATTTTATTTAGATAAAAACATTATTTGGCCACTTATTGCAGTCAAATGCACTAGAGTCCCCGTATTTTGTATATAACTCTTTTGCTTATTTTATACGGCACTCTTCTATGGTCGTGTTTGGGTCCCTTTTCAATTATATACAGTTCTTGGTATATTGTTCTGAAAAATGGCGAAGATGTAGGACATCTTTTATGTATAAGTTGTTAAAAAGCAATTTAAAATAACTCAAATGAAAAAAGAGAAATCCAAGGACAATTTCATAATTTTAATTTATTTAATTTATTAATTATTGACAGTTATTTTGGTATAATAAACGAAATAGAACTTCGATTATAATAAGGTGAAAAGATTAATTTCGGACGTTACTTAGATTAGATCCTTTTAACGTAAATCTTTATTTTTGGATAACGTTTTTAAGCGATTCGCAAATTTTCATAAATAAAAAAATTAACTACAATTTTCAAAAGGATCCGGTATTAAATATTTCTAACTAATTTCACACTATTTAAATTTTTAAGACACTGTGATAACTATTGCGCTAGCCTGGATAACTTCGCAACTATCTTACATCGCCTTGTTTATATTGCAGGAAAGCTGGAAGAACTTGCAGAAGCAGAACGCCACATCCATTTCCCTTCAATTTTCCGTTCGCAACCTTTTATGCACTTGCACGGCAAACCCACATTTTCGGTATCTTATCGGTTGGTCGACTACTGCTACAATGTCACGTTCGTCAGCAGGAACGGGTCGTTCGAACTTAGGCCGACGGGGGAGTTGCAGTGCACATTCAAAATTTATCTGCCATACGGGAATAGGATCGCCCTCAAATTGCAAATTGGCGACAGTTCGACCAGAGGTAATTTGCTACAATGCTGAATTGCCGCGTTTGTCTTTCGAGAAAACGGCCTATTATAGAAAGGAACGATTAGAACTGTGCTACAAGTTGACCGAGTTGTGATTAATTTAGGTTCCATTATTCCAACTAGCGGACATTCGAAACCGGTTAACTTATATTGCGGAGGGTTTTTAAAAGTACCGTTTGTCCCATTTTCGATACGTTTTCCGGTGTATCTCTGATATTTTGAAAGATAAAATATTAAAAAGGTGCTAATTAGTTATTGAGGAAGAAGAAAACTATGATTCTTTAGTAAAATCACACTTTAACTATTGGCATATTGACAACAACAATTAACTTAAGACCTATACAAACTGAAGAAAATAAACCAAATTCTACTTGGCCTGAAGAAATATGGGGCTTCTGGACAAAAGCCGGCTTATTTTTAAGAATTTTGGATCTGAAGACACAAATAAATTCTTAAAAGTATCTTTTTTACATTTCCGTGAGTTGCCTTTTCTTGAGCCATAATAAAATCATGAATTACTTAACTATCAATTTCCGTGTCACAATTTTTTAAAAATTCTAAAGTATGCCACTTCAAAATATTTCAATCTTACGGAGTTATGAACGAAATTTTATGCATGCTAGACGCCACCCTATACGGAGAATATAAGGATGAAAACGAGGGGTTTTCAAGGTTAAATTCATTCATAATATAGTATCCATCACAAACTTTTGTAGCTAAGGAGGTTAATGATTTTCGTTAGTCGCTAGTAGGTTTCTTTATTATAATGGATTTATGACAAAATGATTGCAAAAATTAATAAAATATCTAAGCAAATTTTGCATAGTTTCCCAAACTAGAGCTCTGCTATAACCTTTTAAGATATCACTTTAAAATTTGGATACATTTTTGTGTACCAAAATTTTGATAAAATATAAATGCAAAAAGTAAACAAGCAACTTCATAGCAAAAGAGTTTCGTTGGAACTTATCTCGCAATAGGTCAGCCTTGGTAAAGGTATATACAAATAACTTACTTTATTTGATGATATTTAACACATCAACTACTTCTACTTTAGATACTTGATAGGTTATACCAAATTGTAAAAATTAATAAAAAAGAGGGTTTTAAATATTCTTAGACGAATCTGTCCCACAGTGTAAATAGGCAGATTATAACTTAAAGCAAAAATTAGCAGCAATTTTAGTTTTTATTGAATTATTTCAGTCCTTTACTTCATTGGTAGAAGGGTCGTGATTTTATGGCGCATATTACGGAATTTATGATTTCTCTGTCTGAAACGTATCTCGCGTTTTCTTGTAGCATCATTTGGTTTATCCACCGTTCACATATCTTCGATTTTCCTCTGTGTTCAAAAAACTTGAGAATTCGCTGTCTTATTGTGATTGACAATCTTGCATTAATTTTTAGCTTCTCTAGTATCCAAGGAATTCTCAACAGCCTTCTCCATATCTGTGGCCTTCAAGGCCCAGACTTCTCCACGCTCTCCCATATAATTCAACCGGAGAGACAAAAGCTTCGACAACTTTGCGCTTTGTACTAAATGTAATGTGTTTGTCCCCCCACTTTTTATTTAATTTTGTCATGCCAGGTTTGGTTTTTAATTTCGGTAGATAAATTTCCATCTCTGTTTATATGTGTTCCCAAATAAATTATTTTTTCCACCCTCTTCATAGTATTAATGAATGGCCTTATCTATTCTGTTGGTGCGGTCTATTATCATTAGCACTATTTTTTACTTACTACTTAATTTTAAGCCAGGGGTCAAACTTGTTCCTTCCAGTCTTTCAACAAGTTGGGACATTTCCTGTTGGTCATTTCATTATGTTCGTCCATACTTAGCCTCCTAATGTGTTCAGCGTAAATGTTGACTAGCGTTTTAAGAGCACATGTTTTCAGAGCACCAGATGTTGAGTTGTATCGAGATCTAAGAGAGCCTTCTCAGGCATTTAGAGAGAGCAGCTAGAGTCTAAGAAAGCTGGCTTCGTAAATTCTCGATAATTTTCCGCCACTGTGGAATCTGCTAATCCAAAAAGTATTGGAGGAGAATTCTGAGCATAACGTTGATCTGATGTGAGATGAACGCAACGGTTTGACAGTTGCTACAATTCTGACTGGATCCTTTTTGGTGCAATGGGATGAACGTCGATGTACTGCAATCTTTTTTGCCACTGTCCAGTTTGCCATATGTTATTACATATTTTTCAATGGATCTTATGCCATCTTCAACAAATTGTTTCAACATTTCTGCACTATGGGGTCACCACCTGTGCTTTTGTGGTGTTTCAAATAGCGAATAGTTTGCTCTACTTCATCCCTCAAAACCTCAGGTTCTTGCTCCATCTCACAAATACGATATTGGTGATATTACAGTGTAGGGGTATAGAATTAAAGAAAAACTATTTTTTCTATATTACTTATGCTAGATTTGTTTTGAAGAGCCCAACTTAATCGACAGTATTTTTAATAATCTTCGAAAACTAAAAAGGGAAAACTTATAATAAAACTTATAATAAAACTTATAATAAAAAATAACATTTCGAGCTAATGGTACTATTTTAGAGGAGGAAACTTCAAGAGATGCTGCGTATAAATCCAAGGTTTGTGGGATTTCTCTATTTTAATATATGCTCTCCTTTGCTATTATTTTATTAAGTAAAAGTAAAAGAACAAAGATCAACATCAACCTTTCGCAACTCAAAGGCTAAATTCGATGGCTTTGCGATATTTTGTTGAAAAACGAGAAACGTGTTTCCATTAAAACTACAAAGAAATACTGGTAACAACAAAAGCTGGCAATGGAGATCGATATATAACGAAATGCTCCCGTTATTGGCCTGTCATATGGCATGAAATATGAATCCCTGATATCTGTAACGTATAAGAAACACAATATTGGTTTGTTGTACGTTTTAGAACGTCAGAGTAAATTCGCTGTCTCGCTTCAACTAAAATCCGATTCCAAAAATGTCGAGTGTCATAGGCGAGGGAATTTCTACAATTGATATCGTTTTTGTTGCAAAAGTATTGGAATTTATTTTTTGCACTACTGCTGTGAAAAGTGCCTAAAAACATGCCACAAACAAGATCTGAAATTGATAAATTTCACAGCATGTGGAAAATTGAATTGATTAATACTTTTGACTTTTGTCAGTTTCAATCAAAATTAAAAGATTATCAATGTGGAAAAAGTATTGAATATACTATTACGTATCGAATTTTAAAACTAATCCATTAATCAATATAAAGAAGAGCTTTTCAAAGATATCCGCCAACCTAGGAGGAATGCAATAGTTTCTTGTTTGGATTTAATATAAAAGCTAATCCCAAAACTAGAAACTCATTTCCATTAGTATTGTTATTATTATTATTTGTTTTACAACAATAAACAAATGCAAACACAATATTTTGCAGCAAGGTTTTCAATATTATTAAATATATTTCAATGTAGGTATTTTACTAAACAATTTAGAATCATTTTTAATAAAAAAGTCGTATTATTGGTTTTAATCTTTTAGATAATTGTGCAGTTTTCGAGTTCGAGCTGTTTTTTTAAATAACATTTTATCACCCCCACCCCCTCTTTAATAATATAAATGTAAATACGTTATTGTACAAACACCACTTTGAATAAATACGTATTTAGTCGCAATTGCACCAATTTTAAAACTGCATATATTTATCTAAATCTAAAATCTAAATATTCATCTACAGAATAAAATGCATTTTTTGTGAGAACTTTCTTACAGGACAATATTTGTAAAGATTGTAGTGATTCAGAGTAAAGTCATTAGATGTTTTTGTAGAATAATTGATTGGAGTTTATTAAATACCTATTATCATTTTTTTCATTTTTTAATATACATTTTTGAATGAGCAATCATAAATTAGCCTAATTAACCTTTTCTGAGAGTCAAAAGCCGTTTGAGAGTGAGAGCTATTTCACCACGTAATAATGTTAGAATGTAAATGTGTATAAGCTAGGGAAGAATGCGTATCAAGAAGTATTTGCTGATCCAGCAGGGTTTTGAGTCTATAAATTGCCTAATAACAAGATTTTTCGCACAATGCGTCTACATAAAGGTTGTTAACATTAAGGGGGGTCAAAAAAAGATTTTTTTTTATCTGACACACTACTAGTTGCTACTTACCTCTAGAAAGTACTTACCATGTATGAGCTCTTAATATTAATGGGAAGATGGGAGAAATGGGAAGTCATATCTTATCACCAATAAATCATTAAGCGAATTTTATTGATAATTTTTATTGGAAATTGAATGCTCTACAAAAATTGTCTTGCATACTTTTTCGATAAATATAACCATTTCAAAGATATTCGAGGTCAAAAATTGAAGAATTTAAAGAAAAATAACTTTTTGTTTTTAATTTTGTTATTGACTGAATAATAACGATCGTAAAAAAGGTCTCTTGTGTGTTTTTTTTATATTTTAAATGAAATATTATTATATTATGATCCTCAATTGTGATTAAAATAAAATTATTAAAAAAAAACATCGATTAAAATTTGATTAGGAAGAAATATACTCCCATGAAAATGGTAAAAAATAATTTAAAAACTGTCATTTTATCAAAATAAACTTAAATTTTTATGAATGCTGTGAAAACTCGTCAATTTAATGAATAAATTGAAATATTTATTAAAAATTATGAATATTAGTACCCATTAGGAATCAAATGCACAAACCACAAGAATAATAGAAAACATTTCACGATAATTATTTCTCAATCTTTGACGTCGAATATCTTTGAAATGGTTCGATTTTCTATAAAAATTATCAATACAATTTTCTTAAGGATCTATTAGTGGTAAGATATGATTATTTAGATATGGGACTAAATCGAAAATGCAAAACTATAATGAGGATCATCTCCCCATTTATATTGAGAACTCATAACTGGTAAGTACTTTCTAGAGATCCAAAAAATCGTTTTTTAACCCACATTAGTTAAGATGTTAACATGTGATGACTTACTACACCTTAGTTGCACTCTACTTCTATTTGTTGAACATTGAAATCGCAACATTAAGAATTACCGATCCTCCAATTCACTCATCGTTACATGGCCCTCTCAATACTGCGTAGATCTCTGAGAAAAATCATTTTAAAAGTTTAACATGGCTGTTACGTCTTGGAAATCTGAAAATATTTTCCGCGGTCTTCCTTTGCCTACCTAATAACTTTTGTTAACATTTTCCCAACATTTTCAGAATCGCCAGATACCGTGCTCAACTTCCAGGACTTGAAGAACGGCCTAATCGAATGTGACGGCCTGTTGACTCAACTCCAAGACGGGACGTCAACGTGGTCCCACTGTACGAAACCGGGCGACGCAGAAAGACAAATTGAAATAGTCTCGAAGGAGAACAAAATTTCCCTCAAAGTGTTCGTGCGAAATATCGGGAGTAATTCGGGTGCGTTGGGACTACGGATGTCGTACAGGGCCGACGCCGTCGAAGAAATCGTCGGCCCTTGCGATTTCGGGTGGATCGCGGTGAATCAGTTTTGCGTCGCGACGCCTGAGCAAGTGCGGTTGACTTGGACCGACGCGGAGGGGGAGTGCGTGCGACGCGGCGGACATTTACTGAGCATCAGGAGCGAGCGCGATCAGAACATGGTTGATCGATTGCTGTTTAATAGGTAAGCAATTGGTTTTATTCAATGTCTACTCAAACATGTTTTCTAATTGCAAATTTTGAAAAAATGCTTTAAAATATCCGGTACATCGATCAAGGGTTCGCAAAGTATCATTTTAAGATGTCAGATTCGTTACTCACGGTCCACGTACCACTTTGCAATTTTTCCGCTACTTTCACTTCTTCACTCACTGAATATATTCGTGCAGTTTTTGCAAAAATGTAACAGAAAACTAATAGTTGCTGGAAAAAGTGTAGTGTAGAATACGTTGATAAACTTCTCCAGTCACTCGTTTATTAAACACTTGCCTGCTGCGTCGGTTTTTGTTGACTCGAACCAGTTAACGTTTCGCCAATCGTACTGTTGGTTTCTTCGGAGCTTGACTGAAACAGTTTCAGTCAAGCTTTATAAAAAGTATTACAGTAGCCTGTGGAAGTTTCTTTGAAAAATTAAACTTATTACATACTATTAATATGCTATTCTTTGATTCCTGCTCATTTATAAGCTAGGTTCCATATTCTGTCAATATGTAGTTGAATTTCCAAATTTGGAGTCTTTGTTAGGCAGTTTTTGTTTAATTAGTCCAAATTCATGAAATGAAAAGAAGCTAAAAAATTCTCTTGCTCTTCTATTATGCCTATTTCCAAAGAATATTTTTTAGTTTTTGCTGTAATCAGTCCATTTTCAGTGATGCACAGTAAAATCGAAGCGAGCTAAAAAACGTTGTTAAAAATATACCTTATCAAAGCAATATTCAATTAATCCACATCGATAGGATGAAACTAAAAAAGGTCTACCTACAGAAGAGCTCGTTCCAGGGGGCGTGCCATAGAGAGTTTTGAGTTGTAAGATCAACTTAGTTGAGCTTGGAGTTGTGCTCGGCTGAAGTCTCCCATTTTTGACAATGAAAATAAATATGGATCTCCATCTCTAGATAAACTTCAGCTTGAAATACATGCTAGCAAAATGAGTTCTTAATTATTGACAAAAAAAAAGCAAAAGAGTGGTAAGATTGTTGTAAAAAATGAAAAATTGAAAGCTGCGTTTGAACTAAGAATTTGGTACAAATTTAGGATTTAAATCTAATGCTAGCAGATACGTACAGAGACGCTACGCCAATTTGAAGATATTGTATCCGCCAGGAGTATTCTGAGCGCAACTGTTAAGTTAAAATTAACATAGAGTCTCATTTTCAGTATTTTTAATTACGCTGATACTGTTTACAGGTTATGTTTAAATCGATTAACGTAATTTCAGAAAGCCTGGTTCAGATATGCTTATAGCATTAGGAAATACTAATCAGTATGCCATAAACTTAAATATAGTAAGTGGTTATTTATGAAAAATAGACACCAACCGCTGTATGCGGTGCAAAATTAATCAGAATAAGATTCCACTGTACATGCATCACAGGATTTCTTGCATGATCAATATATAGATAATTTATATGTATGATGCAAAGGTCTGATATCCCCTGCTCGCCATAAGATGAAATATTTACTTAAGATATCAATATGATAATCTCTTACCTAATATCTTAAATCGTCCAAAAACCTTCAGAATCAAGTACAGGACTTATTGCTAATCGTCTAATTTACTTGTCGACCTTGAAAGATGGAGGTTTTTATTTTTTAAATGAGAGCAAGTGAAGTGAATTAAAAATCCTATTACTCTATCCATTTCCGATGAACATTTCAGATTTGTTTTTTAAGTTTTGTTCAATAACTCCACAGTAAAATCAGAACGAGTGAAAAATTCTCATCTTTTTTGTTATCATTTTCAATGAACGTATTTATGGTTTTTATTATAAAGATGTCGATTAATTTGTCATTGTTCATTAATCGACAATAAAATTAAAACTAACAAAAAATCATCTTCCCTTTCTATTATAGCTACCCATTTTCAATAAACAGTTTGTAATACATGAGGAGGTAGTTCATTTTCATTACAATACAATAGCCAATATGGAGACTCTTTCATTTTAATATTCGTTGTTAACTACAAAGCATTTTTTCAAAAATTTTCATTTAATTAATTCTTTCTATTTCTCGCTCCATTAGTAGCCGAAATTATAGAATCTGGAAATGTTGAGAAAATGATTGTTGCGTCAATTACCATATTTCGAAGGGTGGTCGAGCGAGTTCACTGCGGATAATTAGGACACACAAATCACACCCATTTTCATTTTCGAAACTGTCGGCTTGGGACAACGCGCTTCGTTAGGGACGCCGACTAATTCCATGGCTTTTCTCGTCACTTTTAGCGAAATTTGTATGGGAAACAAGGCCAACGAAAATAAATGTCCAAGCTTTGAAGTGTCTCTGAAAGCGAATTATCAATATGCAAAGCAAAACGGAATTCAATGGGAACTCAATACATAAATAAAATACTTATTTTCAGATAAATAATTGATGTAATATGTTTTACTACAATTGTTATTCAGAATCTAGAGTTTTTTCATTCAAGCAAATGCTTCCAATAACTAAAGGGACACAGCTAATAGGGATTTTGACAAACCAGTTAAAACTTGCAGTGCCAATACACATAGATAATGAGCAGGAAGGTTAGTGAGTAATTGTAACTTTTAGAATGCAAAATCGCTCCTTTACTGACGAAAATTATCTTCATTCTGATCCAAGCAACCTGTTGAAGGTTAACTGATATTAATCATTAGGGTACCACTTTAAGGGGCTAGTGTTTCTTGTCCTTTTCAGAGATGTACACGCTGAAAAATTCTGCCATATACCAGTATCATGAACTCATCCAGATCCACTTGCATGCACACTAGTTATGAACCACTTTTTTTGGCCTCCATAATTGGATTTGCTTGCCTCTTGTACCTTATGTTTAATTGATCTTGATAACCATTTCATTGGTTGGAACTTTTTCTTCATTTCAAACATGCATACCTCTTTAGCATTTAATACGATACCGTTTTATGCAAATTTCTTTTGCCAGCCCTGGAAATATCTGTTCTGAAAAAGCTCGGCGTTCTGAATAAAGTCTAATATACTGACGAAGACAGAAAGTATACTTGAAGCATGACACTCCTTTCACAGATGGTTAATTTGCGAAAAACCATTTTAACAATAATTCAACCATCAACGTTGATTACTAATATATCAAACGTAATAGTATATTATGCAAGTGCGGTAAATTGACTTTGTTTGGCACGAGCGGAGCGAGTATTTAATAAACGAGTGAGATAAAGAGGTTACCAAACGTGTTGCATACTATACTTTTTCTATGAAATATTTACCAGTTGCCATTAAACCTACTCGTTTATATTTCCGATCGGTTCTGCCATTGTTGCCTCTTTTTAATTGTGTAGGTTAAACAGAGAGTGATGCATTATGGGATATGTCATATAAACAACGGAATAAACACAATTTTAAAATGTTATGTTGCTTATTTAACTTTTACAATTGATCATTAAGCAGTTTATTTAAAGAAAAAGACTTTATTTGCAAGAAAAATCATTCAAGGACAGAGCTTTTAAGTGGATAACATTTTTGAATTTTTGAGATAGAATAAGCAAGAAAAACCAGGTTCAAACCTTCAATTTTGTTTTGTTTCTACTGATGAGACATGAATATTTGAAAATGGTACAATGGGTTTTGGTGAGATATTAATTTAAAAACTGTAAATAGTACTGAAGTTAATGCGAACGGTGTGTAAAATTTCGGTGGGAAACTTAAATTATAAATGTCACTTTATTGACCGAATAGTCCACTAGATTTTAATTGTAGCTTATAGCACGTAATATTTAAATTGTCTGATATATTGGATAACATTTTTCTGTGTATTAGTTTTTGGGTACATTTTTGCAAAACAACACGAATACCTTAACCGACACGACCGTCAAAATTGACAAACATTTTTGCAAAACAACACGAATACATTCACTTATATGACCGTCAGAATTGACAAACCTCAAAATTCACAGCGTGGGAAATATCTCCGAAATCATCCGATTGCTCCCAAATGCATGCGGAACTATCCAAAGGAGCTCGGATCCGTTAGAAACGAAACTGATATGGTAAAGTGACGCTTCCCGCACGCTAGATCAGTGTGTAGTTACCCATCTTTCAGACGGGAGAAGAAAAACATATTTTTGTTTGTCAGTCAGGGTACTCTTTGAAATTATATAACAATTTGCTATTTTTGCCGATTCGTCAAAAACGAGTGGAGTAAAATATAAAGTGTCTTACATCATAGTAATGGGAATAAGATATTCTATTAAACACTATATAAAATACAAGGTGTTCCATTAAAAAAAAATAGGATGTAGGTTTATATGTCAGAAAATTGATAGTGTTTTGTTTTATACGTCCCTTGTCCTTATATATGTTTAAAACAAAACTAATTAAAATATTGGACATTTCTTCCGAAATTCCACTCTAAAATTTCGCACATTAAGCCAGAAATAATTTCATTTCCTATACGAGTGACAAGGCTGCCCCAGGAGTTTAAGTAAATTTAAGTAAATACCGCCAATCACATCCACGGTCTCCTCCTCCTCAAATCTAATTCTGATCACGTAGTGTCCGTATTGATTTATAGCATTTTTACAATACAAAAATCGAACCATATAATAAAAGCTATATAAGAACTTCGAGTTAGGTGTTAACTTTACTAGCTCTGTGACGAGTGGCCACCAGATATGGGTCAAAAAAGTTGTTGTGACCCTAGATTCCTTTTCTATACGCAAATGTTCTAGTTTTGGTTAGTTTTGATTGATTTATTACAGTAAATCCTTCCTTCTATAAGTACGAAAACCGTAAGACCCTTTTACTATCCAATCTTTTCTCCACTTCTTTTCTCTGTATACCTTAATGTAATTGCTTTATTTTCCGAAAAGAAAAAATAGGCATACTTTTGTAATAAACACAGTCCAGTAATGAAATAACCAAAGGATCTTGACGAAATGACGGAGGAACTTTCTGTAAGTAAATTTTCATTTCAATTCTAAGTTTTCCCGTTTCATAATTGAGCAAGATCAC